GGGAGAATGCATTACGTTTAAACCACCAGTACATCCAGCTATCGGCCGCGGGCCCTTTTTGGAGGCCACCCACTGCCGATTCGATTTATCTACTGCGCTGGGCCTCCAAAAATTCTGAAGGCGACGAGTTTTCTTTTCAGCAAGGCTGGGGCCGTGTACTGGCGGTTTAAGGTCAAGCACCACTTCATTGGCACTCTGAACAATCCAGGACCGTCGAACACTGATCTGCTGACAGAGCTCATTGTCTTTCGCACAAAGATTAGAGATCACTCCTTGCAAAGTTGTGCTGAGATACTACGAAGTAAAGTAATAGTTGTATAAAAAGTTAAAAACATAAAGAATAGTGCAAGGTCAATTTCCAGATGGAGGGTAAAATTTTGAATATCTCGTGGTTGAATGGTAGCTTTCCAGTAGTTTGTATTTACCGTCTGGCTCAGTGGGAGCTGCAATGGTGCAGAGCACCTGTCTGAAACAGATTTCAGACGGTCAAAACAGCTTTGAAAACACACTAGCGTTAGCGTGTGAAATAATTGCGTTTGGCCTGTGGCCACAATTGAGAGGAGTTTGAGTGGCGGGTGAAGTGATTGGCGGATTGGAGGTTTGACCAGTGGATTAGGGTTGGCTGGCAACGAAGTAGGATGGATCGAAGAAGAAGGTATCAACGAAAGAGAGAAACTGACTGGCGAAATTGCATGAAGAGGTTGGAGAGAGCATGGAGCATCATCGAGCCGAAGTGAAGTGCCTTCGTCACCCCTAGCCTTGCATGCACAATCGTTGTTTTCTTGATGCTGGAATTGCTGGTCTTTTCCTGGTCGCTCGAGCTTCTGTCGTCAATTCTTGTTGTTGTCAATACATTTTAGGTTGGTCAGATAAGTTGAAAATGATGTAGATAGGTAGGTCAACTTGCCAACCGATCTGATGCTGCAGTAGCTGCACGGGCAGTTAGCGGCGGGCGCTCATTAAACAACCTGTCCAGCCCCAAGGACTGGGGCTGACCAGCATGCGGTCCACTTGAGGAGACAGAGACCAACCAGACCAAAGCAGTCAACAAGTCCTAGGTTGACCACCTGTCACAATTAGAAGCTGCAGTAGCTGTGCTGGCCAAAGTATGGTGGCATTAAAAAAAAAAAAACTTCTACTGACCTGTGAGCTGGTATACCGTGATTAACTCCTCAAAGGAAGTAAGCAGACGTGAGAGAGAAAGAGTGACGATAAAGCGTCGAGGGTTGTAGTCAGTGGGCGTAGGAACCGGACGGACCCAGCCTTGGTAGTACCGCCTGACAATGTTGTCCTGCCTGCGACGTTGAAGAATTCCTGACGACCTCGTCGCCTCGTCCTTTAATCGGCTGTTGGCCAGTTACATGTATCGACGACGATACACTGTTGATGTAGAACAAGTCAAAGTCAACGGTTTTAGGTCAGGTGAGGTACGAGTCTTAAGTGGTAAACTTTCGATTCACTGTTGTGTTGTTCCTCCATCATCCTGGATGACTATCCGATGAACGCCCTTCTTCTCATTTTCTCCATTCTCTAGCAGCCACTGCTGCAATTGTTCTTTCCCTTAGGATTCGCGTGGAGTAGTCATCTGGGGGATCCAGGTTATGAAGAGGACAACAGGCAGCAGCAGGGGAGGGTGATACGTCAGCTGGGGGATCCAGGTTATGAAGAGGACAACAGGCAGCAGCAGGGGAGGAAAAGAGAAGAAGGGGATGAAAGGAAGGAAAAGAGAAAGCACAGCTGAGCAGAGAGCGGGCAGGCAAACCAGCCGTGGAAAAGAAAGACTCAGAGAGTGAGATCAGCAGTGTGATCCAGGGGATTGGAAAGAAGACGTTAGGAAACGCCACCGGGGGAGCATGATGGAGACCAAGGACCCCATAGACGTTGTGGACAAGGAAAAAGAGTTGCCAGTAGCCCGAGAAAAAAAAAAATACAACTGCCCCACATATGAGGAGGAGAAAGCTGTATTTATTTATTAAAAAAAAAAAAAAAAAACTTTCAAAAAAAAAAAACTGCAGACGGCGCTCCAGGAGATGGAGACGAAGGAGAAGTTCCTGGATGAAAAGAAGAAGATGTTACAGCATTCCAAGTCCATGACCGCCATTTTGAAGAAGGAGATAGACGCAAACAACGCACCTGATCTCAACCTTATGGCCACAGTTTCCCTGAACGACGCCTCTAACACAGAGAAAGCGTTCGCGGAGCTCGCTGATCTTAGAAATGCTCATGGCTTACCAGCAAGACATGGGACCATAGTTGCTCGAATGGCATGGTTGGAGAAGCGTTAGTGCCCTCAAGCCTTGAATGGATGAGCTCCTATAGACAACAAAGGATCACGGAGTAACTGATGCACAGATCCTCACCCATTTTGCATTGCCATCGCCTGAACCCCTATGATCAAACCTAGCTGGAGAAGCTAGAAAGGCCAAACAGACATACAAAGAATTTTCAATGTTCGCTTCGAACGGGCAGGCTTCCTACGCCAAATTACCTACTCCCCCAGTCCGTGTACATAGACTTAGTCCGAGGAAGGAAGTTCAAAGGGGGAAGACGATTTCCCGGACGGGTAGGGTCCGTAGGGAATGTTTACTATTGATGTCCCAGGAATGAGGCATTGAGGAGTTGCCATATGATGATGAGATAGCGTATGAGGAGGGCGATGGCACTGATGGTTACCGGGGAGGGGACGGAGCTGTTGTTGTGGGAGGGGAGGGCCAAGAGGAGGTTGTGGAAGCTATGGCGGAGCACAAGCTAGAGGTGGAGGAAGATACTACTCCCTACCAAGAGGCAGAGAAGGCTAAAGTCCCCACCAGGAAGTCGAGGAGGATACTACCCGCCACAGAGAGGAGGTGGGAACAACTTTGTCCCTGCAAGAAGAAGTGGAAGTCATTCCCCACCTAGAGGCCAAAGATGGTATTCTCCACACCGAGGCGCCAACATAGAGATGGAGGGAAGTGTTTAAGTGCGGACAGGGTTGCGATATCAGTCCCTTCTGCCCTTGGCGGCAGCAACCGGCAAATGGGAATCGCCAGTGGATGTCTCAACTGCTTCTACTGAGGCCACGAATACAGATAGACAGGAAAGCGCACATTGATAAATATCAAATACCCTTCCTGCTGCGCAGGCCATTAAGGCAGAGGGTGAAGTAGGGGCCCCAATCAGATAGTTGCCCCTTGGACAACCAGCTGATTGGGCCCGAGTCCTTATGAGCGGTTACCTTGCACACACACACACGCGGCGCTGATCACTCTCCATGTATCCTGGGCCAAGATGAAGAAAGAGAGAGGGCAGCTAATCCAGTAGATGTAAAAGTGCACCGCGTTAGAATGGGTGTGTTGATAGACTGTGGGTTAATTAAAAGTTAAATCTCACGTAGTGACATAGAGCGTTGAATAAGTTAAATCTAGGATTGAAAGTGCAAGAGGTGGAAAAGAGCGAGTGTTATCAAAGTCAGCAGATAATAATAGACCTCTTGAAGTGTGAGTCAGTATGTCAAGGGGGATCAAAAGGTACTTCTGGTTGGATGAAAGAAGTTAGAAAAGGTGCTACACTCCCTTACCCTTCTAATAGAGGAGAACTTACCCTTCAAATATGTTATTGGGCATGCAATGGGGAGAAGCAGCCAAAACAGATGCTAAGATAGGGGAGGACGAGTGTTGGGTGCCGAGCACAGTGGAAACAGATGTTAAGATAAGGGAGCATGAGTACAAGTACTGATGGTAGCAAGAAGAGAGCGCACTTGTTCCATCAGTCGGGACAAAATTCCTCACTGTCCATTTGTAGCATGAGCGCACCTGCATTTTCCATATATTGTAGCAAAGAAAGAAATGTTAGATCAAGTCTTCATAGCCTGCCGTCAAACCGCTAAAGGAGAAGCAAGAGCAGGCTAGTACGCGTGAGGAAGTACCACCCTCGATCAAGTCCCTATTGACGGAGTTTGAAGACTGTGGAGGAGAACGCAACCAGTACAATTTTGAAGACAAAGACCAAAGCACCAAATCGAAATTGAACCCAGAAGCACCCGTCCGCTGTCGACAAGCAAGCGCAAACAAAGTTGGACGTGGAAAAGCCAATTGAGTAAAGAAAATGTGCAGATCAAAAATTCACCCAAATTCATTTCATGACTCATGATTATAATAACTACGTACTGTATACAGAAGGAGGTGTAGTTGAATGACCTACCAATGCTACCATGGCCGAAAATTGACTTTGACACTTTTGTGCGGGGGTGCTTGGGACCCAAACCATCATCCCAAGCAAGCGCCCCGCTTTATTTTTCGATAACCCTCCAGTAGGGGCCCAATCCGGACGTTCCCGACCAGACCACGGACCTGTACATCCGCACCTGAGCAGTCTTGCTTTCAATCGGGACGTAAGGCCGGTAACCATGCTTTCACCTTCCCCATTATGATCAGGCTATGTTTTCAAATTTCTTCTAGCCCAAGGGACTCACACCACCCTGTCTCAGGTGGCCCCTACTTGTTTTTAAGTTTTAACCCTTCAGTAGGGGCCCAATCCAGACGCTCCAGACAGGACCACAGACCCGTACATCCGGATCCAGGGGCTGTGCATTGCGATTTGGATGTCCAGCCAGTAACCATGCTCTCAACCTTTTTTTTTTTGTTTCCTGCTTTATTATGATTAAGCTAAGCAGCTACGGCTGCTAAGCACAAAAAACAGAAACTTGTTATTGCCACAAAGCCTTTGGCTGAAATGTACACACATTTCGCTGTTGGTAAACCGATCATGTGTTCAGATCATGAGTTCAGATCCTGATTGATACAATACCCTTCAAGAAAAAGAAAAAGAAAAAGAAAAGAAAAGAAAAGAAAAGAAAAGAAAAAACAGGAAAGAAAGAAGCCTGCTACTTCTAAGCACTCCACGCCAAGTACATCAGCAGGACTCTCAGGTATGCCCAACAATCATGCAACAGGGTGTCTGGCAACAGTACAGATATGATAAGCAGTAGCATTATACTAGCATACATATATATAACCACTCACATTGTGTGCAATCCCGCCAGACAATTTAAATCCTGTTTCTGTCTCGACTGCACTCCTCGTCTCTGCAGCAAGATGGCTTCCCAACATAAGCAGAAATAAGCTCTTCAACTCCTCATCCGGCAATCTGCAATCAACAGGGTGCATCATGGCACACACATTCCTACTGTTGTTGCTGAGCCTGATTCCGCCAGCCGGATCTTGTCTTGCATACGACTCCATGGCCACCCCCCCTTCATGCTCATATCGAGCCTCATCTTCTCCACGCCTTTGTAGGTCTCCATTATCTCTGGTCGTCGAGTTGGCAGAAACAGACAAAAAGTTTTCTTCTTTTGCAACAGGCCTCTGTGCACAGGAGAGGGCATCCCTTCCACTACAAGATGCTGGCATATCAACACAATCAGAATCGCCATACCATTGCTGAGATACAGCAACCAGTCTGGGGTTCTCTCCGTAGCCATGGACATGGCCAACAAATCGGCTGCTCTCTCTGATGGTAGGATCGGCCAAGTATCGTGGCATCTCCTCAACATAGCGCTTGTACGCTTCGTCACTTACGTCAATATATGCCTCGTCTAAGCCCAGCCTACCAGAAAGACATCAACAGGTTCGCCGAAACAACAACAAGTCACCGAGCAGTTATGGGCGTAGCAGAGGAGTAACAGTGAAGGCATAATAAAGGGTCAACTGGAGCCACACATCACAAAATGTGCTAAATCATTCCTCGAAGATGAAACACTGCAGTTGGGCTTTTGTACAGCATTCTAGGGACCATAAGGGTAAACATCCTAGTCGATTCGGACCAGTTGGACTTTCCCCTGTGCTCAGCCCGCTAATCATACTGCAACAGAGGCAACTTATCAATCAAGTGCTCTGCCTGCACATGTCTGCGAACTTCGTGCTTGGTGAAGGTTTGCTAAAGAATACATAGTAAAGTTGAGCAAACAGTAAATAGTAAATAGTAAATAGTAAATACAGACCGCAGAGTCGCAGACAGAGATTACTAAACTTTCCCAGAAATAGTTCCCAACTTCCAAGACACGAATAAGAAATCAATGTATTTTGACAGGACGATCTCGTTCCCTCTAGAAATTATTTTTTGTTTCTCGTTTGTATTAGCATTCCCCTTGGACAGGTCACATTTTTTTTAAGTTGACCTTTTTTTTTCTTTTTCTTTTTAATTTGGGCAGGGTTGCATGCCTGCCGACCGCCAACCCCGACCGCCGACCGTATTGCAGCTGACCAGTAGGGCCAACCAGTCGGCACTCTGCCGACCAGTCAGAAACAACCATCCACTGATTTTTTTCCAAATCTGAGTTGGGGGCTGTACTGCACTTGCTGAGTACATCCCAAATCCGCTGAGAAACTTTTGGAGATGGGGCGGGGTATGGGGGGGTTGGGGTTGGAGT